AATTTCTTATATGGAAACAGAAAAGGGAAAGGAAGACAGGAAGGAAACATTCCACTCCACCGGAGACATCATGCCCTGAGCTAGCAGCCATCTTCCCCAGCAGCCTGCTACGTGGGATGCCCTTTTGTCTCATTTAGGCATTGAGCCCTTGGGCATTTGGTGCTTGCTTCTGGAGGCAGGAGGGGGACCAGACTGGGTTCTTTGTTTTCCAGACAGAGGTGTGGAGCTGGTAAAGCACCTGGCTCAGGTGAGTCACGGGTAAAGCAGGATCAGAGCGCAAGATCGTCAGACTCCCAGGCCTGAGTCACGCAGCTTCCCCAGCCCCAAAGTGTGAGAACAGAGCCTCTTTCCATAAAGCAAGGAGGGCCGCTGGGCCAGAGTCTTAGGATAAGCAATCTTGCTGCACAAGAGCCTGAGCTCTTCTTGCCAGAAAAATGCCATTGTGATTTAAACTGGATCCTCAGAACAAGGTAGGCAATTAAGAGGTAAAATACACATTGAAATGGTTTGAGTATAAAGAAAACTGTTCAGGGCTGGGGATTTAGCTCAGTGGTTCCGCTGCCTGCCTTGCAAGCACAAGGAGCCGAGTTCGATCCCGGGTACCAAAAAAAAAAAAAAAGAAAAGTGTTCAGGTGGGGGTATAGCTCAGCAGTAGGACGCTTGTCTAGAGTGTGCCAGGCCTTGGGTTCAATCCCCAGCAACAAAAAAACATAAAAGTGTTCCCCTGGCAAACATGGTGTGTTTATCTGGCAGCTGTGAAATAAAATGAGATTTGTATGGGAAGACTGTGCTGCACTGTTTAGTGATCTTAAAAAAGAAACAGAGAAATTGGTGCTAGAGACAAAAGGTAGTTACATCCCACAAATCCAGCTCTGTGACTACCAAACAGAAAGGACATCCCTGAGACAGGTGTAGCGTGGCTCATAATTTTAATCAATAGCCAAATTATAAGCTGAATCAGCAGTAGCTAAAGGCTGCTCAGTGCGGTTTCTCCTGCACAAGTCCCTGCCTGGGTTTATGCATGGGGCAAGAGAGCAGGCTCCATGGCTTCACGTTAGTGCTGGCCAGCTGAAGGGCACCCCTCTGTGTACGTTGGCCTCGAAGGATGTACCAGGTCTCTGCCACACTCCATCCCACCTGCAGGGTGTCACCAGTCACAGTGAGCCTGTCTGAACACTCTGAAGGCCCTGACGTATGACTGATTGCTCAGATTCATCTCTGGGGGATGATTTCAAAAGGCACAGCTGAGTTTCTTCATTTGGATTTTACCTTGAGAAAATTCCAACTGATCCCAGATAAAAAATTTATCTTGGGAAACTACTGAGGAAAGAAATGTGTTTCATTACCATCATCCCTGTGGTTATTTTTCTTAAAGCCTTCAGGAAGTGATTCTTCACCGTCATTTTTACTCTCTATTTTGTGAGTAGGATGACCACTCGTGGGTCATCTAAATTGGGACATTTCTAAGAGTAAAAGGGAGATAGATTCAAGACTATGCTGGGACAGCCAGTGCAGGCTGGGGTTGCCCTGGGCAAACGGGGATACACGGTTATTCTGGTGAGGAAGAAGGGGAGAAGAATGGAGGCACCCCCAAAGCAGAGTCCCGCTGACTCCAGCTGACATAAGACGTGACTTCTGTGTTATAAACCACTGGATCTGGAGGCTTCTTGTCACCACGCACCTGGAAAAGGCTGACTAATACAGCCCTTCTAGCTGTGTGCAACTCTGCTACCAGCTCTATAAAATGGGGCCTATCGCATTTGCTGGTTGAGAAGACTAAATGAATTATTTTAAGTAAAGCACTTAGAAAAGGGTCTGAAACATTGGGAGCAGTTAATAAATGTTAGCTACTATTGAGTTATAATAACACAGGAGAATAAGAGAAATACACTAGGAATCCAAGGAAGTCAAATTTCAAACAAGGCATATTATTCCAAGGCACGGAGGAGAGATGAGCAGCCTTGCTCCCTGCACACGGGCTGGCGCCCTTCTGGAAACCTGAGCCCTGGCCCTTGGCCCCTCACCAGTCTCCCCTAATACCCAGCCCCATGGACCATCACTACCTGCGCTTGCAGATTCTTGTGCTCTCTTGACCTTTGGTTCCTTCCACCTCCTACACGCAACAAAATCTTAACCTTGACTCAATACAATTTACTTTTTGCTTCGGAGACTGGATAAGTAAGAAAAGCCTTTCGGGGTTTCCAGAGAACCTCCACATGGGCTTTCTCAACTCTATCTCCCATTTCCCATAAGAGCTATGTCAAAATCGTATCACTCTCCTCAAGCTTTCATGTGTGAGCATGAAAGAAGGAAGGAAGGGAGGATGGGAGGGAGGAAGGGAGTGAAGAAAGGAGGGAAAAAGAAGAGGCCATTAGGCAGGAACTACGGAAGTTGATTCATTGCTCTTAAACCAGTCCCTCTTTTGCCCTGGAAATGGCTCCTCCACTTTCTCCGTGGCTCTCACCCTTTGGAATACAAACATGGCAGAGACACATTCCCTTAACCTGTGCTCAGCTGGTCTCCTCAGGTCTAACCCTGGCCCTTCAAATCTATTCTCCAGGCATATTTACCAATGATACTTTTTTCTATGACCTTCAGAACAAATTATAAACTCTAAACTCCAATGCTAAAACCTTAACTCTACACCTAACCCAGTATCCCTATGATACTGCTCTCTGCCACTCCAATTTCATGTCTCACAGGGTCCCCAAATCTCCTAAATGCCAAACACACCGGTCAACTTTCACTTCCCAGACTCCTCTGTGTTCATGACACTTCTGGGGTTCTGTCCCTGCTACTCCCCCACTGACATGCCCTGTGCCTTGCTGCCCACTTAGTAAACTACTCAGTCAAAAAACTACTACATTTTTTAAGTCATGTGCCACCTTCCCGAGGAGCTTCCTTCATCTACCGGAAAGCTCCTCTTGCCCCTGGCAGAGTTTGCTGCCTCTCTTACACATTTCCATAGCACTCTGAATGTGCTGCTATCTGAAATGTGGTTGCCAACTGACTTGCAGATCTCCCTCACTAAACTGTGATCCTCACTAGTCAGAGATGTATTCATCTTTCATCTTCAGTTCCTAGCAGGTTACCTAATGATACTCAATAAACATTTCATGAATGAGTGAAGAGTGATAAACATTCCCTTGGGTAGCACTCCCCTCTCTTGGGGGCAAAGACTACATGTGTATGAGGAAGAACCCCAGAAATCTTACATTCTTACTTGTTTACATGTATAAGCACACATGCAGTTGTTTTATAAGTCAGCTTTCTGTCACTGTAACAGAATGCCTGAGTTAATCAACTTAGGAAGAAGAAAGGTTTATTTGGCTTACAGTTTTGGAAGTGTTAATCTGTGGCTGGTTGACCCCCTTAGTTTTGGGCCTGTGGCAAGGCAGGGGCACAGGCAGGAGCACACAGCACAAGAAGCTGCTCACTTCATGGTACCTGAGGAGCAACAAGAGAAAAGGAAAGGAACAGGCTCTCACTATGCCCTTTGCTGCACCTCCAGGGATCTACGATCTCCCACTAGGCCCCGCCTCTCAAAGATTCCGATACACTTGGGCCTTTAGGGGACACTCTTGATTCGCTATGTATTGGTGAGCCATATGAAAAAAATATATATGGAAGGTCACTCATTTTCCTTTACCTTGTTTTCCTCTGTGCTTCTAAGTAGCTGTGTAATTTTCCACCATGATCCTTTGTGCCAGGTAGCTTTATTCTTTCCCTTCAACAGCTACACCTTCTGAACATCATATAATTTCTCGATATTTTTACTTTGTGTAATGGTTTGGATATGGTTTAATGGTGCACCCACCCCCAAGCTCATGTACTAGAGACCTGGTCCTCAGAGTGGCACTATAGGGGGTGCGGAACCTTTGGGAGATGGGCCCACTGGGCGATCCTCGGGTCACAGGAAGTACTCCTGGGAAAAGCCAGAAGAGCAGCCTGGCACCACCCACCCTCCCACCACACACACCCTGAGCTGTCCCCTGCCCCTGGGGCCATGCATCGAGGAGAGGCCCTCGCTGAGCCTGCACAGTGCTATTTAGACCTTGAAATGTCTAGAACTATGAGCACCATAAACCTTTCTTACAAAGCTAGTCTACCTCACGTATTTTGTTATGGTTATAAAAGCTGACACTCAATATTCAGGACAGTTTTCCCTGAATATTCTTTTGAGTAGGTGAGAATTCTAAAGACCAAGAGAGAAACTGTCACTACCTTACATTATCAATAGTACATGTACCACTTCCCCACAGGGAATATAAACATTCTGGGCTATAAACATGCACTAATAAAAATTTTTTTCATTCATTCCCTAGATTCAATTATCTCAATGCCTTTAGCCATTCCATAAATAGTAACATGCAAGAAAAGCAAATACAGTTTTTGCACTGTTATAATATCAAATGAGATATATAATTGGCTCATAATTATTAATAGTTATTTCAAACTCTCCTTCCACATTCAGATTACATAAGTATTTATTTTAAAAAAAAGAAACCTTCATCTTATTGCTTCTCATTTTCAATTTGTGATCATTCTGTCCCTCCCCAAGATCTTTCTAGGCCAAACTTTAGGTCATTACAAGCATTTTTCATTTTTTCAGCTTTTTTTTAAAATTTGAAGGTAACATGGGCTTTATTGTAGAAAATAAACAATCCATTTTAATGTTAAAATGTTTTAAGATTAGATTTTAAATAATTAGCAACTTATCATTCCATAAGACTGGATATATTAAATAAACTTCCATTTTTAATTATTATGATTGTCTTTAGAAAACAAAATACCTTGCCTTCCACCACCTGCCTTGCAAAATATCTTGCCAAGTGTGATGGTGCATGCTTGTAATCCCAGCATTCAGGAGGCTGAGGTAGAAATATCAGGAATTTGAGGCCAACCTGGGCTATGTACAAAGTTCAAGGCTGACCAGGACTACAAAGCAAGAACCTATTTCCAAAAAAGAAAAGAAAACAAAATATCTTGAACTAGCTATGTCACAAGACATTAAATATCTTTAATAGATATTTAATTACATATAGGGATTACAAGATAAAATGTGAAATTAACAAGGACAAGCAGCTTTTAAAATTCTCCTTTAAGTCCTCGGAATATTTAATTTTCATCTATCACCATCGTTGCTATGTAATCCTTGTAATGAATTAAATATGATTCTGGATCAATTGCAGCTGATAGCATTTCTTCCATTTCCTCTTGAGAAAAAGGCTCACCTGGGAGAGACAAGAAGGGCAATCCATCATTTACAATAGGCTGACTTTCTCTTTCTCCTTCCACTAACCAGCTTAATTGCCATGGAGCTCCATGTGCGCCCACAGTGTCACTATTTCTTCTTGGCTCTGTAGGGGCAGCACCTGAAAGCATGCTGTTGGACACCTTCGCAGGCTGTGGACTCACCTTACCTTTACCCATTATAGACCAAGCAACCTGTAGAATCCGTTACCGTGTCACAACAGCAGTAGGACACAAAGACATCATGGACAAAGGTGTTTATTTAATTTTAAATGACTGAAGTTGCAAAAGGATTAACCTGAAGCCTCAGACTCACAGGGATGCTGAACATCATGTGTAGTAAGAGTATGAAGAGATGATTAAATGTTTGCTCTGCAAAATTACTGAAGAGCAGATATTTGAGACCTGAAATTGTAACAACTCTATCTAGGAATATTTCCTACCCAATCTGGCCAGGTCAGCGATGCCAACTGACCCCAGTGAAGGATGCAACTCATGTACCATTTCAAAACTCCTCCATGTGAGAGTTTGGTCCAGGGTTGATATCAGATGAAACCAAAAGTGGTACAGAAAATCTGTGGGATTTCGTTGGATTCAGATAACAGCTGAGAGCCACCGTGGAAATGGGTTTCACCAAGAGGAAAAGACTGAAGATGATTTAAGACAGAACTGTGTCCTAACATTAAATGAAAATACAGATCATCTAAATCACCACCTTTGGCTCTATAGGGAAGGAGTCTTACCCAAGTAACTAAGTTACCAAGGTCTGAGGTCTGCTAACCTCATGAGCTTAAGTCACCGACCATTATAATCACTGCTTCCTAGGTTGGAATTCGCTTATGAACACTGAAGTTACTCAAACAGGGGTTGTGATGACAACGAAGGTAGTACCATGAAACAAGAGAAATGTGGTATGCAGGGTTCTTTTGAAATCATGCCTACATCCTAATAAAAGGAAGAATGGCTAAAGTGCTAAAAATTACAAATTCTGAATCATCCTTAAACCTAATGATTAAATACCAAATGAACTTTGATGTAAGTCCTTAAAACAGTACTAACCAACATTCATTCAGCAATGCTGTGTGCCAAGCACCGATCTAAGTACTTCACAGATATTAACTAAGTTAATCAGTCTCCCAACCACAACGTAGAGGTAAGAACTTGTGTGTCGCTGCTGGCACCCAAAGAAACTAGGCAGCTGGCCCCAGCAAGTTGCAGGGGCAGGGTTGCTGGGGTCTGAAGGCCAGGAGTGCTGCTCATGATCCTCCAGCTGAACAACCACACTCGGCCGCTTAGAGCAGGGCCCTGCTCGTGGTGAAAGATGGGAGAAACACTGCTTCGTGGTACAGAGAAAGAGACACACAGTGTTTAAGGAGTGCCTGGGTTCAGATGCTAGCTCTCTGTAACAAGCTTTAAGATCTTGGCCGAGTTGCTTAACCTCTTGGTGCTTCAGTTTCCCCCATCTATAAATGGGGATGATACTACTTTCTACCCATAGGATTACTATAATGATTAAATGCATAATTATTTGACTATCACTTAGAACAGTATCTGACACAGCAACATAGAAGTATTTATTTAGAAAATGTTTTTGAACATTTTCCTACTGCTAAATACTGATGCAATACAAATTCATGGACACATGTAGATTTTTATCTTGTGGGAATTGGATTCAGTATGACTTATATTTATTATATGACCTAGGCATTTAGAACACATATTCTCAGACCAGGGATTTAGCTCACTGGTTCTGGTGCCTGCCTTGCAAGCACAAGAACCTGAGTTCAATCCCCAGTACCAAAAAAAAAAAAAAAAAAAGAACACATATTCTCAAACTGATTATTAATATATTTGATGCTCTATGGATATTGTGGAAAATTGTACAAGTGACTTTGACCTATGTTATGAAGCACAGAAGTATTTAAAAACAGTTTAGAATTTTGAGAATCTTGAGGCATTGGCTAAGCAGATATTTTACTAGGCTAATCAACTGCTATTACAGCTAGATGGCAGGTCTTTTATATTTAATAATAATAAATAATATTACTTTACATTTGTATAATACTTCACCTCTTATATATCACCATCAAACATTAGCTCATATGTCTAATGTACTGAATAATATTTGTTGCATGAAAAACTGAAGTCACATATTTGAAATCATTCTGTTGAAATGACCCTTAAGTACTATTAACTCTGTAAATTTACCTTTTGGAAATTCCTGAATCACATGGCACCTCCAAGTAAATCACACAGCGGCACTGTGCACTGTCTCCATGTGCAGCGCTGTCTCCCGTTGGTTCCCCTATTTCAGCCACTGGCGTTACCACGACACCCCCATCCGGGTCAAAGCCTTGCTGTTATTTTTGATCCTGCTCCTTTGCTGTGCCCTGCCCTCTGTTATTCAGCATGACCCAGGGATCCTGCTGTAGAGCATCCCACTGTACAATCCTTCTTTCCATTCCCATTGCCAGGCCAGGCCCTTGTTAGGGGAGCCTTCAGAATGCTGAGCCAGCCTTCCAACTGGTCTCCCTGGCCTAACCCCTTTCCATCTAACAACCTACAGGCACCAGAATAACTTTCCCACAATCACCTGTGCACTGTGTGACTCATCTCCTAAAGCTCTGTAATACTCCATCGCCCACAGGATGAACCCCAGACTCCTGAGGCCAGGCCCCCCACACCTTAGTCCCAGGAAATCTCTGTTAATTTCCTACTGCTGGCCGACAAGACCCACAGGGCCATGTGCATGCTCACCTCCCACTCTGCTCATGCTGCTTTACCCGTCTGTGTTTCCCTCTTGCCAGCCCACGTTATCTACATTTCCTTCAACTACTCATTCATTCTTCGTTCATTTATTCAGAGCTAATTTGCTCTAATTTGTTGAGGCCTACTATACATGAGGGGACTCGAATGCATAAGATTTTACCCCCCCTCAACAATTCACCCAAGTAAATTCTACCTTCTTGAGTTTTTCCAGAAACTTCCCAGACTAATATTTTCAAGCTGCTCTGACCTGCACTGATCTTCTGACACTTACTTTTCTACTGTCCTATACTGTGATTTGTTGAATAAATTAGCTTTGTTTCCCAAGTAAGATTGTAACATCCTGAGAGAGGGAGGGGATTTCAGTATCACTGCCCCGCCACTGTGCTCAGGAAGCACATGATATTCATTAAATTGAATTGTTTGGGCCATTTCGACTAAATTCATGTTGCCTAATATAATTACTTCCTTTAATCCTTATGATTAAAAGGTGAACGCTTTGAAAGTCATAACATTCCCACCACATCTTAATCCCTAAGATAATTTTAACAATGTCCTAGGAGTTCCTGGGTGGCTGCCATGATTTCCATGTCATTCTTACCCTCATTTCCTGTTCTCCTGCCCAATGCTGGATCAAGTGAAAACAGTCAAACCAGTTGCGCATGTAGATGTCTTTGTCTTCCTTCCTCAGAATTACTTGTACTTCTGATCCTGCCTCAAATGATTAATGACTCAGTCCCTGCAGTGGCGAACTGAACAAAGGAGACAGAACCCTTAACTTTGTATGAGAGTAGCGGAGGGGCCAATACGAGAATGGTTTCAAGAGACTGTCCCCTCGGGCACTGCCATTCAGGAGAAACAGATTTACATGCTGGCCTAAGCAAGGAGAAAGCCTAGTGGAAATCATAGTGAAGTGTGTATGTGTTAGTTTATGTTCAAAGCAAATATAAATGTCTCCATTAGCATAAAACATGAAATTTTTCTGTGAATTCATATTCAGTTGAAGCTGTATTATTATCCATAACTTTACCAAACTCTTTTAAAAGAAATTTTGTGTATACTCCAATTCAAATCTTCAATCTAATAAGGGCACTGATTTATAGCTCATGGTTTCTAGGTGACACACCTTTCATTCTGGAAATATTCTACATGAATGAAGTGACTGCATTTGTGTGTGGGGGGGGGGGTGGTACTGGAGATTGAACCCCTGGTCTCATTAAGTCCCTAAGTTAACCAGGCTGGGCTTGAACTTACAATTCTGCCTTAGCCTCCCAGAGTGCTTTGATTACAGGCTTATGCTACCACTCCTGGGAAGTGACTGCAATTGATGGAAGTAATCATTAAACTTCTATTATACAAAAACTTATGAGGCAATAATCTATCTCCCCTTCTCTTATGCTTTGACCTCTTAACCTCCAACCAAAACCACTCCCAAACCAAAATAACAGGAATAGTAAGTAACTCTTAACCAGAATGATTGATTTTAAAGAATTCCCTATAACCTTAAAAAATTGTTGTAAAAATTATTAATCCATTACCTCAGTCACTGTTATGAGTAATAAAGCATCTTACCTTCTTCAGTCATATGTTTGATCAATTCTTCCTTAGTAAGAAATCCACGTTTAGCTGAATCTAAAGTCTAGGGGAAAAGGCAGATATTACATATTTTATTTGGCAAATAAATTTTACATAATAAAATTTTCATATACAAGTTATGATTAAAAAATACAGTGAGTATTTAAATTTAAAATTTTTATTACAGTAAAAGAGAGATTGCCATTAATCTCTAAAATATTCCCCATTGCTTCAAACATACTTATTCCATCATTCTTGCCACTTTCTGAAGCAGTTCTGGAATTCCTCTTTTATGAGTTTCTAGCTGTGATTTCTTGGCTGCCTCAGTGTCCCGAATCAATTCAAATCGTTTACCTTTCATGGTCATTTTGACTTTTGGGAAGAGCCCAAAGTTGCATGGTGCCAGACCGGGTGAATGAGGTGGATGAAGAACACACTTTACGAGCCTGCCTCTCCATAGGACAGCAGTCACCAAAAATTTTTTTTATCACATCTCATAAAGACACTCACAAAATGAGACTACCAGAATTGCTTCAGAAAGTGGCAAGAATGATGGGATAAGTGTGTTCCATGTGAGTGGGAGGATTTTTAGGAAGATTAATGGGTATGTGTCTTTCACTTTAATAATTTTTTAAATTTAAGCATTCACCATATATTTTGATTATCCCTTGTCTCTATGAATAACCTGGAGCATACACACCTCAAAAGCCTGAAGAAGGACATCATCTGGAATTGGTCTGAATCTGTAATTATGCCATAAGCGTTAATGTCAGAGTATTTCAGTCTCTACATTATAAATGAATGCATTAAAAATTAAAGTTACTAATATAACTAGAATAATGATGCTTTGCTCACTGAAATATTCTTGGATTTCTAGATATGAAAGTCAATTGTACCTTGCCCCCATGGAAATACTTAGTTTGAAATCACTGGCATTTTAGTGTTATCTATTAGCTTTTTCTCATCTTGGAAATCAATTTATCTAGAAACAAAACCTCTATAATCAACCAACTTTGGTAAGCTAATGCTATACTTAACCAGTAAAATAATTGGTATTCTTATTCATAATTGACCACTGAAAATAGCAGACGAATAGGATATTGTTGATTTATTATTTTTGTAGCTTCTTTGCCCTTTGATTATGCTTTGCTTAAGAGTAATATTAACATGGTTGATTTTCTAAGCAGATAGCACCTGGCAATTCAGAAGTACACTAAAAGATTAGAGAGAAGGCAATCTAAGATAGTTTGAATAAAATACAGAGTGAAAAAGCTAAGAGTTTAAAGGTAATGTAACCCTAATCATTACCTTGCCTTAAATTGCATTTACTTACTTACCTTCCTTCCAGAAGTACTTTGGTCATCACTGGAAGAAATTTTTCGTATCTGATGTATCCAGTGGGTTCTTCTTCTTCTACCTAAACATTTGATAAAGAAATAGCCATTTACTTACTTAATATATATATTGAGCAACTACCTTGTAAAAGTACAGACCACATCGTTTGACTCTGAGGACACCTGGGTGTGACCCCTGCTCACAGGACTTGTATTCTTCCAGGGGAGACATACATCAGTCAAAACACCAAAAAGCCAAGTGTCTAATTATAAATATATGCAGCAAAATGAAGTAAATGATCATGGTTCTACAGAAACATATAATAAAGGAAACTCTCCTAGAACAGGAAAGCAGAGAAGTCATTCATGATCAAATAACACTTCAGCTGATTCATCAAGGATGACAAGAGGAGGGAAATGAGATAAAGACAGCAGGGAAGACTCCCTGGTAGAGGAAACTACATGCACTGGGACTCTGGTGACCCAGGACAGACTGCGAGGCTGCAGCAGAGAGCAGCGAGGAGGATGTTTCAGGAGGAACCTGGACAGAGACAGGCAGCAGACCATGAAAGTGACTTGGTTGTTACCCTAAAAACAATGGGAGATCACTGAAGGTTTCAGAGATGTGTATTTTGAAAGATCACACTGGTTGTGGGTGAGGTGGCTTTTTCAATGCTCTACACAGATACGATGAGGGCTTGGACTGGAGTGGTGGCCATGGAGAGAGAAGTGGATTGTTTCAAGAAATGTTTAAGGAGTAAAACTGATAAGCTTGGTTTGGTACCCATTGTGGATATGGAGAAGTAAACAGAAGAGAGGAGTGGAGGACAACTCCCCAGCTTCTGACTGGCTCAAGTGGGACACAATCTTACCCTTGGTTAGTAGCCACTCATTATTTCCAGGGCCAAACTACATCTCACGTCACTGCGGTATTTGTTAAGTACCTACATGATTAATGGAATTTTGCTAGGCTGCTGCTAAATTAAGAGAACACTATCTCTGAGACAGAGAATTTTTGGTACTCAGCACTATTAGATGAGAATGAAATAGATCTCTGCTCATGGGTCCAATTTTGATGGAGTGGCTGTATGAAGCACCACTGACCTTAACTTTCATGCCAGGCTATTTATGGGGAGCTATAAATTTTCCACTCCCTTTAAAAAAAAATCCTATTAAAAGGCTCATAGAGCCCGGGGATTTAGCTCAGTGGTTCCGCCTCCTGCCTCTCAAACACAAGGTCCCGAGTTCGATCCCTGGTACCAAAAAAAAAAAAAGCTCATCTGTTGAACTGAGATCTATGAGCCTTTTTTTTTTTTTTGGTACCAAGGATCAAACTCAGGACCTTGAGCTTGCGAGGCAGGAGGCAGAACCACTGAGCTAAATCCCTGGCCCCAGATGAGCTTTTAACACAACTACTGTTTGAGCAAAAATTAAGAAACTATAGGTTGCTGCTAAGTGGAATACACTATCACCCAAGTAACTTTTTAAATATTTATACTAGATTCACCACGAGTGTAAATGAAGACCTGAGGCTCCACTATCAGTGAAAATCTAATGTTAGAATGTTTCCGAAAGTCTGAGTCCATCCCTACATGAACAACTGTCTTCAGCTACCTCTGGTCCACAGTGAGCATTTTGCAAATTAGTGTTCATATGGCTCTGATGTGCCTGAGTAGCACTCCAGATTTCCAACCTTTGGAGTCTCCTACAAACACTGTGTCAGGCTCATGAGATTATGCACAGAGCAATCATCTTAAAACTCTGAGTTTCTTTCCAGATATTTGCTCTGCAAGCTAGAGAAATGGCTTCCTTCCCTTTCCCTGACTGCTAACAAACCTCTGCAGAGCGGACGATCTTGACCTTTACAGAATGACAGCCCTCCTTTATCTCATAAACATCTTCATCAGTCTACAGCCTGCTTTTAGTTTTCAGCCCTGCGAGAACACAAGATGACATGTGGCCTGTGCCTCACACTGCGACACACTGCTGAAAACTCTGCAGGCCATCTTGCTTAACAGGCCTTTCTGCAGCCCAAATTAATAAAATAATAGGTCGAGAGAAGATATCTAATTAGTCAGAAAAGCAGAAGGGGCATACTTTTTTTTAGTTTTTGTAAAAAGAGGGATAATGAATATAAACACAGGCCTCATGGTTAAAAAGAAGAAAAATGCTAAATCCATATACTTGGCAGAAATTGCAAAATCTTTCTATGACACAACACTGTCCCCTAGAGGCCATATCTAATCTGTACTCTGTACAGAAAGAGATGAGCAGTGGCATTTAACTACAACAATTTAACTGCATGACTGCTCTTTTTTTTGGTGCTGGGGATCGAACTCGGGTCCTTCTGCTTTTGCAGCAGGTGGCAAAACCACTGAGCTAAATCCCTGGCCCTGCATGACTATTCTAACCACAATATCCATCAAATATCTATATGTGCCAGACACTTTTATATTATAAAAAGCTTTCACTTTTTATTTTATAATAGTTCTACTTTACAGAAAAGTTGCAAAGATAATACAAAAAATTCTCATGTATACCCCAGCCAGCTCCCCCATTGTTTTTAATTTTTTCAAGCTTTAGTGAACTAAGATTGACAAATAAAAATTGTATATATTTACAGTACACAGTGTGATGTTTTGATATACATTTATAGTGACATGATTGCTACAGTCAAGTTAATAAACATATCCATCACCTAAGTGATTACTGTTTTGTATGTGGTAAGAACACTTAAGATCTTTCTTAGTAGATTTCAAGTATACAATACATTATTATTAACTACAGACATCATATGTACTGTAGGTCTCCAGAAATTGTTCATTTTATATAACTTGAGTTTGTACCCTTTGGCCATGAGCTCCCCATTTCCCCTGGTAAATGTCCTTCCACTCTGTTTTAAGTTTGTTTTTTTTTTTTTAGATTCTACATATAAGGAGATCATGGAGTATTTATCTATCATGCAATTTTGTCACCAGTACACACACGGGAAGAACACCAGGTGAACGTGAAGACAGCCCTCTGCAACCAAGGAACAAGGACTGGAACAGACCTTCCCTGGTGGGTTTCAGAAGGAACCAAGCCCTGATAACATCTTGCTCTCAGACTTCCAGCCTTCAGAACTGTGAGACAATAAATTGCTACTGTTTAAGCCACTCAGCTTGTGGTACAAGGTTACAGCAGCTCTAGCAAGAATAAATATATAATATATATTTATATATAATACAGATACATATATCCAAAGACTCTGAATTGCTATCAGACAGAAATTCTAAGCCTCTCAACTGCAGATTAACAAAGATATTCAAAATTCTGAACTGTTATTTTACACTAGATATGGGAAAAAAAAGTAGTGTAGTTCAGACCTACTTTCTCCAGGAGAAAACTCAGTTAATTTAGATTCCGTACATTATAGCAGATGTCTTTGAGGACTGTGAATTCGTTAGCATTTCTTCACCTACAGCACTATCATATTGGGAAAATCCTGTTGACTTTTTGCTGTACTGGTTAGGGTCTTTAAAAAATAGACATTGCAGGGGCCGGGGATTTAGCTCAGTCGTTCCACCGGCTGCCTCGCAAGCTAAGGACCCGAGTTCGATCCCCGGTACCAAAAAAAAAAAACAAAACATTGCCTTTCTCATAGAAAAATAGATGCTGGGTTGTAGCTCCATGGTACAGTGTGAGGCCCTGGGTTCCCTCTCCAGCAGAGAGAGAGAGAGAGAGGGAGGGAGAAGGACCTTATAATATGTTCACCATTTTTTTTTTTTTGGTACCGGGGATTGAACTCGGGTCCTTGCGTTTTCACAGCAGGCGGTGAAACCACTGAGCTAAATCCTGTTCACCATTTTTTGACCAAGAATAAGAAAAGTAATCCGGGGATTTAGCTCAGTGGTGCCACACCTGCTTCACAAGGTCCTGAGTTCGATCCCTGGAACCAAAAAAAAAAACAAAACCAACAACAACCAACAAACTCATCCTCTAGCTTCTGAGCCTCACTTCTGATACCAGGAGAATACAGTTATGATACCTAGGTGGTACTTAATGGGGTGACTGCGAAAGTGACATGAGCCAGGACAGGATGGTGCCTTGTGAATTCTGGAGTCTAAGCTGATGATGGCTCCGGTTCTGAAATGCTGTGACACTTGTTCCAAAAACAATCAGCCCTTGCGGCTGAAATGTTAGACACATCCTCACTGACCCATTGGGCAGATTTAACTGTTTATAAGTTTGGCCTCCAGCTGAGCTGGATGGTGCACATCTGTGACCCCAGCACTCAAGAGGCTGAGGCAGCAGGATCACAGTGAGTTCAAGGCCAGCCTGGGCTACATGGTAAGGCCTTGTCTCATTAAAAAAAGAAAAAGAAAGAAAAAGAAACAGGCTGGCTTGTCTCCTAGCCACAAAACGCTATGTGGAATGTGGCAATAGAATAAACACTGCATCAAGTTGCCAGTCATATTTAATTCCTAGAGGACAGGGTCAGTGGGCTGGTAGTGATGCCTCCGCCTCTGCTGTTTTCCTGCCAGCTTCTTTGGACTGAGGGGAGAGGAAGGCTAAAAGACAGACAGCCACCCAACTCCACAGCCCGCTCCTCAGAAGACAAAAGCTGATACCTCCTGCTATTACAAACATGAACGAAGCCAAGGCAGTTATAGTCCAGGCCAGTGGCAGCGAACCTATGGCACATGTGTTGTTTTTCTTTTAAGACAAAAGAGATTAATGTATGAGTTGTCTTTTCTGAACCAAACCTCAGAATTCAGGTTTTAACTGCAGTGTTGGCATTCTGTGAGGAATAAGTGGTTTGGGGTTGCAGTTTGGGCAGTCGTCCTCGTCTCTAACAGGTTTGCCATCACGAGTCTAGTCTGTTTCTAAGAGAAGGGCCAGCGTGCTGGGGCTGCATTTGTGAATGTAAAGGCTAACCTCCCTGCGGGAAGATCCTGTCTCAGCAGCGTGCTGGCAGATGTTTGCCAGGGAAACCAAGACCCTGACAGGCTTGGGCTTCCTGCCCTCTGAAGAGTTACAGGAGGAGGTGCCTGAAAGCACAGAGCTTCACTGCCACACAGTGGAGCCCCACAGTCGAAGGCTA